ACCAGTCCCCCCCTATCGTTGCCACACGCACGTGGGGCGTTCCAAAAAGGGCCCTGCCTTCGGGGATCGACGGAGTTGTCATCTCTCCCGCGGCGGAAGGGCGGCGGAAGCAGAACGAGGCCGCATCCGCCGGCGGAAGCATGCGGAAGGGCGGCGGAAGGCGGCGGAAGTAAAAGATGCGCCCCCCCAGAGATGAAACCGTTTTTGGGTTCAGGGTTTCCGAAATCAGCCAAATGCCTTCTGCCATGCAGCTCAAGCCTGTCCCGTCCTTCGCTCGCTGGAGCGGCGCCTGCAGAGTTGCTGCTGTGCTGTCAGACCCTCCGCCGCCCCTCTCCCGAGCTCCTTCGCCTCCCCCCTATCCCCTCCTCCTCCTCCTCCTCCTCGCCCTCTTTCGCCCTTGCGTTCGCAGCGATCCGCGCTTACCCCGAAAGGCGACTGCCCGACACACAAAACATCAGGCCACATCTCCGAGGCGGGACTGGGGTGGCCCCCGCTACCCGAATGTCGGACGGGCCCGGGTCTCTCTTGAGAACCCGTACGGCGTTGCCCTTCCACCCAGCCTCTCTCCAGGCCGCCCATGCACGGGCTCGAAGCAGATGGAGTCGGTGGATCGCGCCGCATCGCCGACGCATCGGCGATGCCGCTCGATGTGCAGCCAGATCTTGTTACACGCCGACGTCGTGGATGCAACCTCAACGAGATGGGCTGTCAGGAATCGCTGTGTTCACAATGCCGTGGAAATTTTTGGTACAGAGGGCCAGTCTACGTGTGGAGCCTGCATGTGGTATGCGACTCGATGTGGAGCCAGATTGGGTCCCACGCCGACGTCGCGGATGCATCGGCGATGCGGCGCCCTCCTCCGAGCCCATCCGCTCGAATCCTACCTGGGCGGCCTCCGCGCTTCTCATCGAAGGCAGGGGGGGGCCCGAGGAGCGGGTTCTGCTCTGGGCCCCAACAAAGTCTGATGATGATGATGGTGGTTATGTTGTTGTTGATGATGACGGTGATGTTGCTGATGATGATGCTGGTGATGGTGAAGGTGACGATGATGCTGATGATGATGATGATACTGATGATGATAATGATGATGATGGTGATGATGACGATGATGATGATGATGGTGGTGATGGTGATGATGTTGATGGTGATGATGCTGGCGATGATAGTGGTGGCGATGGTGATGGTTATGAGGGTGGTGATGATGGTGGTGATGACGGTGTGGATGATGATGTTGTCGATGATGGTGGTGGTGGCAATGATGATGATGATGATGGTGATGATGATGACCATGGTGATGATGATGATAATGACGATGATGGTGATGGATGATGATGGTGGTGATGGTGATAACGATCATGCTGCTGATGATGATGGTGGTGGTGATGATGAGTGTGATTATGATGATGATGATGATGGTGATGATGATGATGATGATGATCTTGATGATCATGATGGTCATGATGATCATGATGGTGGTTGTGGTAATGATGTTGGTGATTATGCTTATGGCGGGGCTACCTTTGCTGATGATGATGAAACGATGATGGACATGATGATGGATGCTAACAGTGTTGATGGTGATGCGATGTGTGATGAATTGATGGTGGTGGTTATGATGATGATGATGATGATGATGATCATCATCATCATCATAATCATCATCACCAATATCCTCATCATCGTCATCATAACCATCACCGCTGCCACCATCATCATCAACCTCATCCTCATCATTCTGATCCCCAGTAGCAGCGATCACAACAATACCACCACCATCACAAGGTGCCCGCGCACGCCACCACCTCTTGCTCCACTGTTCTGTCTCCCACACTCCCCCAGCCTCCATCATTGGGCTCTTCTCCTCCTCCGCCCCCTCCTCATCGCCCGCTCGCCGCGGGCCCTGGACCCACGACTGCCTCTTCATCTCCTCCTCCTCAAGGGCTTGGCCAGAATGGTCCGTGCTGGCCAGCGTGGGCCCGACCAGTAAGGTACTGCACTGTGGATGTGTAAGCTGTCTGGTGCAGGCTATGTGGTGTAAGCTCTGCGGTGCGGTCTACGTGGTGCAAGCTGGAGGCGGCACCGAAGCGGCAGCGGGCGGCAACGTGGCGAAACCTCGCCGGACCCACCCAGCGAACGTGGCTGCGACGAGGCGGCACCAGGCGGACGTGGCGAAACCTCGCTAGACCCACCCAGCGCACGAGGCTGCGACGAGGCGGCAACGGTCGGCAACGTGGCGAAACCTTGCCTCTCTCAACCAGTTCCTTGGGGAGACGAGCACGATACCCCTAAGTGCAAGCACTGTTTTGGGAAAAATCGCCTCCCCTCCGCACCACTGGCCCCCCCCCAGCCTCCATTATTGGGCTCCGCTCCTCTTCCTCCGCCCCCTCCTCCCTCGCTCGCTGCGGGCTCTGGACCCGCGACTGCCTCATCCATCTCCTCTTCCTCCTTCTCCTCCAGGTTCTTGGCCCAGATGCTCCATGTTAGCCAGCGTGGGCCACGACCAGTAGGTTATTGCACTGTGGATGTGTAGGCTATGTGGTGCAAACTATGTGGTGTAACTCACTTTGACTGTCTTGAAGCTGTCCTCTCCACTGCTCGTGCAAACATCCCACCCTCCCACCCGCAACTTGGTCGCAAGACCTCTTAAGACCGTGACGGTAGGTACCAAATGGCACTTGGCAACGACACCGACGCCGACGACGACAGCGACAACGACGACGACGACGACGCCGACGACGACATCGACGACACCGACGACGACTCCGACGACTTCGACGACGACAACGACAACGACGACGACGACTCCGACGACACCGGCGACGACGACGACGACGTCGACGCCGACGACAAGGACGACGCCGACGACGACGATGACGACGACGACGCCGACGACGACGACGCCTACGACGACGACGACGACGACGTCGCCAACAAACACGACGACGACGACGAGTCAGGGAGGACGACGACGCCGACGACAACGACGAGGGACGAGGGAGGACGGCGACGACGCCAACGTCGAAGAAGGAGGGAGGACGGCGACGCGGACAACGACAACGACGAGGGAGGAGTGAAGACGACGACGACGAACACGACGACGTTGAATAGTAGGGACGATGGCAAGACGCCGACGACGGACGACGACGACGACGAGGGAGGAGGAAGGACGACCACGGCGACAACGACGATGGAAGCGACGACGAAGCCAACGACGAGGAAAGACAGAGGACGACGACAGCGACGACGACGAAGACGAGGGAGGACGGAGGACGGCGACGACGACAACGACTACGCAAGAGCGCGCGCGCACGCTTTTGTTGAAAATCCGTGTTGCGAAACCTTGTGTCTTTGTATGTCTTTCGGATACGATTTTGAAATCCTCCCGAAACCGAAGGTTTTTGAAGGATTTCGGCATGCGCGCGCGACGACGCGCGCGTCTGCACTTCGTCCATTTTTCTCCAGAGGATTCTCGCGACGGCACGCGTGCAAGGGCGTTCGAATGATTTCGACATGCGCGCGCGAAGCCCGTTTGGTAGTATGTTTGAGCATCTTGAAAAACCGATGGTTTTCTTAAGACTTCGCAAGAGCGCGCGCGTAAGCTTTTTCAGAAAAGCAGTGTTACGAAGCCATGTGTGTTTGTATGTTTTTGGGGGAACTCGATTTTGAAATCCTTCCGAAACCGAGGGTGCTTGAAGAATTTCGGCATGCGCGCGCGACGTCGCGCGCGTGTGCACTTCGTCCCACTTTTTTGCTAGGTATGTTTAAAACTTCTGATTTTCGATAAACGAGAGTGCGCGCATAGTACTTGTTGCAGGTGACGGCGGGGGGGGAGTGATACCGGCCTGGCTGGGATAGTATGAATTCATATTGAGGATGGACGATGGGGCAGCATCATATGTAAATTGCAGTACGAAAAGGGGAACCGTTAACTCCGGGGGGGTAGAGTCTATTCTTTTTTTATAAAGGGAAATCTATGTGGTCTCCTCATCGTCGTCGTCGTCATCGTTCGTCGTCGTCGTCCTCCTCCTCCTCAAGGGCTTCTCCTCCTCACTTCTGTCCCCCCTTCCCTCGTCCCCTTCGTCGGCCCTGACCCTCCGCCCTCCTTCGTCGGCCCTGGCCCTTCGTCGTCGTCCGCCGTCGTCGTCGTCCTCATCCGCAGGGGCTTCCCTCAAGGGCGCGAGAAACGCCCCTACCCTGGTTTATGAGGCGTAGGCGTTGTGCCCTCAACCTCTTGTGGGCTGACAGGGGAGACCTGCGTATCGCGCGTGTCGCGCGGCGTTCTGGCGGCTTTCTGGCTTTTGGGAACCGCCAGGATGTTTGCATACCAAGCATTCATAATCCACGGTAGTGGCGTGCTTTTCACTCCTCATTCCCCTCCTGCAGTCGACCCGCACAGTAAGGATGGGCAAGTGTCCTAAGGTTACCGTTGCATACTTGCCTCCTCGGTCCATCCTTGGCCGCTTTCGCTGGCCGCGCTCCGCTCGAAAAATGTTTCGAAATGAAATGGCCTTGCAAGGCCCTTGCGCATCCTCACCGTGCATCCTTCTGATACGGGTCGACGGGCACGTCCCTCTACAGGAGGAACCTTCAAACATAGTTTGTTTGTTTTTTATTGGTTTGTTTTAAAAAGTCAGGGGACGATTTTTTGAGTATGGTTGAGCATGTTTGGAATGTTTTTTGGCCATCTGCAATTCTTCAGTCATTCGAAAACCGCCTGTAGGGGGACAGTCAGTAGGGAAACAAACACACAGACACACCGAAAATATGGGAAACTATGGGAAGTGGGGGGGGGAAGACAACAACACCGAAAATATGGGAAACTATGGGGAATCCTGCTAACTGTGTCCATCTATTTGTGTGTGTCCCAGGGCCCCTTCAGGTGACATGCCCGACCTGACTGTAACTTCTGTCCCCCCCCTCCCCCTTGGCCCCCGCCCTCCGCCCCCCTCGCCGTGCCCGAGCCCCTCCCGCGTGCTCCTCCCCGCCCCCCGCCGCCGCAGGCGGGGCAGGAGCTGTCGGGCGCGGCCGGGGTCGCCGGCGAGGCAAGGCCCCTGCGTCGCCGCGCATACGCACACGCACACGCACACGCACTGGCACACGCACAGGCACAGGCTCAGGCACACGCACACGCACACGCAAACGCACACGCACACGCACACGCACAGGCACACGCACACAGGCACACACACGCACACAGGCACAGGCACGCACACAGGCACAGGCACACGCACAGGCACACACACACACACACATAATTTTACGTAACACACGCACGCACGCAAACCCACACGCACAGGCACAAGCACGCACACACTTTTGAGCGTCGCGCCCTTGCGCGCGGCGACAGGGCGCAGAAGGTCGGAAAACAGCGAATCGCGCGCGCGCCTGAGCCCGCCCGAGCTCTCAGAGATCCATCTGGGCTTCGCAACCGCCGGCAGCCATAACCATCCCTGCATGGATGTCGGGGTCATGCATACACACACACACACACTCACACACCTTGTTGCGGTAGCCGCGCGCAGCGGGGAGGCGCAGAAGGCGTGACAGTGCGTGCGGCGGCCCATCAGACCTGGCGTGACAGACTGCACCAGAGGGATCTGGGCCTGGGGACTGTCAAGAACGGATCCAGGGACCGATTTTGAACCGAGTTGCCCTTACCCCTCCTCTCTCCGCGATGGCACTCGTTGGAGGATGCACGAAAAAGAGTTTGCGCACTGGGAAGGGATTGGTTGGAGGGTGAGTATGTCAGATGTGCGTCATGGCCCGGAAATCAAGCATTCGGAGCAGGGCCAGTGTAGTGAGTCTGTGGGAATTCAGGGTCACCAAGCGGTTTTGGGACTCGGGTCGTTCTCCGAGGGCGTCTCGGGCGACCTGGGCCTCCGAGGTCCCACGACCGTGACGAACCACGCAGTGAGAACTCTGGGAATTTCGGTGTCACCACGCGGTCCGTCACCACACAGCCTTGGGACCCCCAATCCCACTCTTTGCTCCCACTTCCGCCTCCTTCCCTCTCATTTCTCATACGCCCCTGCCCCCGACCGCCGACAGGCGGGCTGGCCGTGGCACCTTGGCGGCCACCACACCGAGACGGAGGGGGGGAGGGGGAGCTCACGAGCGGCGAGCGTCTCCGTATCCGCATCCTCGTGGTTTGGATCCTGGGGCGCGATCCCACGGATGCGCGGTCGCTCGGACGCGCTCCGCGCGGAGCCTCCGCGAAACAGAAGCCCTGCATCCGCGGGGTCGCGCTCCAGGGGCCCGGGCCCGCGAGGCCGCGGATACGGATATGGCTGTTTTGATCACGTTGAGCCACGTCTTTTTGGGGGCTCGTGCCCCGAAGGGGTTTCCACGTCGTCGGGCTCGCCCTCCTCCCGTCTCTCGTCCTTCCCCCTTTCTGCCCACCTCTCAGCGTCCACCCCGCCGTGTTCGTCTCCCCGTCTCATCTTCCTCGTCCTCTTCTTCTCCCGTCGCCTCGTTATGCTCACCCTGCTTCCCCTCCACCTCTTCATACTATTGCTCATCCTCTGCGGCCCCTCCTGCTCTTCGCACTCAGGATTCTCGGCATCCTCCTTCATCAAGCGCTAGGGAGCAGCGCTGCATTCGCAAGCGCGCACCCCCTCCCCATGCCCCCCGCCGCCTCTCCTTCCTCCTCCGGCTGCGGCGGGGCGGCCCTGCAGTTCCAGGGTGTTTGCGCACAGCTCGCTTTGATTCGAGACAGTTAGACCGAATTCGGCACTTTCGGACGCAGTCGAAATCGAGCGATGCATAGAGTTCTGGAAGACTGGACGGCATAGGCAAACACGCGTTTAGTGGTGCTATGTATACAATTGTTGCACATGTGCGCTCATGCGCTGTTCGCATACGCTTCACAGAGACAGACATACGAAACCTTGCGCTGCCATCGCTTGCTCATTTGGGCGTGACTGTGACCAGTCATCGGACACATGCACAGACATGTACATATGTGTCTGCGCATGCAGGAATATTCGGTGTATGTGTGCATACGTGCCCACCTGCATTATATATATATATATATATGTATACACATGTATGTATATATATATACGTATATATGCATCAGCATATACTTATGCATATTTATATTTCGTGCATCGGTACACATGTGCACACAAAACCAATCACGCCACAAACATGCACATGGGTCCAACTGGCTTGCGCCATCCCGCCGACCCCCAGGGAAGGGAAGACGTCCACGGGTGAGGCCTCTGGGGGCATCCTGCGGAACCTCTTGGGAGCATCTCTTGGGCCTCTCGGGGACGTGCTCAAGCCTGTTGGGGTGGTTCTCGTGGCGTGGCAGGAGCACGTCACCGGGGACCAGCGAAAGGAACATTTAGAGAAGAAGAGCAGGGCGGTGCGGGAGGACTGCGCAAAGGAAGGACTCTCAGCGAGATCTTGGGAGGCGTTTGGATGCACTGGCCCACGTGGCAACTGGCTGCCTCGGAGCACGTTCCCTGAGCGCGGCGGCATTTTCGCGGTCATCGCCCGGCAAGGAAGGTGGACACGCACTGGATGCCGCATTCCCGTGGAATGGAAGTGGACGCGATGCAGGGTGGTGGCGCGAAGCCGAGGCAGCGCGCAGGGAGGAGCGCGGGCCAGTGCGCCTCGACGCTTCCGGTGGGGTGCGTCCGCGGCCCTGCCGAGGTCGAGGGTCTGCGGGCCTGCCCGGCAGCGTCCTGTCCAAGAGGGTGGGGAACGCGTGGATGCGCGCGCAAAAACGGAAAGAGGGCGAGGAGGGGGAGGAGGGGGAGGAGGAGGAGGAGGAGGAGGAGGAGGAGGAGGAGGAGGAGGAGGAGACGACGATGCAGGAAGCGAGGCATACGAGGAACACGCGCAGGAGACGGAGGGGGAAGGGGGATTGGGGGCGCACAGGGGGAAGGGCGCGACGATGAGGAACGTGCGCAGAGTGAACACGAGGAGGGGTGCGACGCCGCGCGATTGTCCGGTTGGAGCTCCGCGGCACGGGGTCGGAAGCCTGCAAGGGCAACCAGCGAACATAATGCAACAAGTGTTTGGCAATTCAGCAGGTGTTTGGGGTAAGTCCCGCCACCGCTGTTGGGTTGTGGGACGGAGGTTTCGTGGATGCCTGTGTTTTTGTTTGGGGCGCGTCTTAGAGGCATGTCGGAGTCCCTTTACTTATAATCACCCCTTCAAGCATGTATATTTATCCAGGTGCCTCCGGCAATTCCGCCACCGTGCCAACGCAGCATTCTGGGTGGCAATGACTCGTGAAGGCGAGGGGGCATCTTGGGGCAACCCATGAGTCGTCTCAGGAAAGTCTCGCGGGCGGCCTCATGGGCCATCTTGGAGCGCGGGACGTCCGAAAAGGCCAGAACCAAAAAACATTGAGGGGCCCTCTTGGGGGTCTCTCTTGGCTTCTTTCAATGGCCTGATGAAATCTTCGGGGGCGGAAGGCTCGAACTGTCGGTTCGTGTTCCCTCTCTTGGGGCCGCTGGGACCGACTTGGGGCCCTCTGGGACACTTTTGGGCGCCTCTTGAGCTGTCCTGGGGCCCTCTTTGGCCGTCCTGGGGCCCTATTGGGGGCCGTTTGCACTGCTTCGGTGCAGTCCTGGTGGCCTCTTGGGTCGACTTGGGACGTCGGAAGCTTAAAATGGCGCGAGCTCGAAAGACGTAAAATCGCCGAATGGAAATCGATGGCTTGTGCCTCCCAGGGCTCTCTGGTTCCTGGCATCGCTCGGACGTGTGCATTTTCTCTCGGCGAGAGCCATCGAGGACCATCCTGGACCATCGAGCAAAAAAACACGCACGAAACCGAAAACTGCACGGGAAATGGACGTCCGAGCGATTGCGAGGGGTAGGCTCTGGGGCCCCCTCGTAGGCGCCCCAAATCGCTCTGGGATCCGTGCTGCAGACGCTCTGGGATCCGTCGTGGCAACAACGGGGCCCGTCTGGGCACGAGGTCGGGCCGTCCTGAAGGCCTCCGGGCCTCGGGAGCGCGAGTCTCCCACGTGCTGCAAGTGCTTGCGGTCTCGGGAGAAGGAGGAGGAGGAGGAGGAGGAGGAGGAGGACCACCTGGCAGCAGGTGAACGGCAGGCCGTACTGGTCCTACACCTCCGGGGCGACGCATGCAGGGAGATGTTACCGGAGAGGGCCCGGCCCCGTAGAAAAATGAGGCACAGCTTACGGTACCAGATCGCAGTTGGTATTCTAGCACGCTTCAACGTGCCAAAGGGCACCGTGGCGGATGTTTATAACAGAGAAAGAGAGAGGAATAGAGAGAGAGAGATAGAGATTGAGATAGAGAGCGATATTGAGAGAGAGAGAGAGAGAGAGACTGGGAAAAAGAGAGAGAGAGAGAGAAACGAGCATGGCAGGGGACCAACCAGGGACATGGACATGCAGACCTCCATTCCTGTTGCCAGTGCTTGCGAGCGTTCTCCACCGATCGCCCATCTCGAGCAGGACAGCAGCAGTGAGGGCTGCTGTCAATCTTACCATGCGCGCGCGATGCTGCAGTAGTTGTTGCACTTCTTGTCGGCACTGCTTGCATCGTGCTTTGTCCTGTGGACAGCTGCTTCGCCCAGCTCGCGTCGTTTGTCGCCGCGGGCATGGTGGCTGCTGTTCTCTGGGTGCGTGCGCGCGTGGGTCACCGAGCGCGCTCCACTACTCCTATTCGCAAACGTCCGCAAAGAAGCATGTTCGACGCATACCCCGCGGTGGATCTGGGCCGCCTGCGAGTAGTTACTTTGCGAGTCGTGGAACGCGCCGCTCTAGTAGGCACCAGAGCGCGAGTGCGCGCGCAAGCGAGATAGCGCCAGCGGAGGAGTCCACGGAGCAGCAGCCCCTTACCGATGACGCGCCGACGGCGCCGGTGGCCGCGCCCGAGGCGGCGGCATCCTCGACTGCTCGTCTGCTCTGTTCTTTGTCCACAGATTCGCGAGTGGTCCGACCACCTGGTGTTCCTTTAGACCCTTCCATTCCCCCTGTGGCCTGAGCATGCCTTGCCAATGTGCGTGTGTGTTGC